TCGAACACTCCAGATGTGATGTTACCCTTGAGCAGTTTGAACACACCTGTTGCTAATTTTAGGTACTTGTTTGTTTGATGGTTGTTGTTTTTCCCTGTGTCCTCTGAGAGCGTGTCTCAACCTGGAGCTGCATACAGGCACCAGTAGGGGTACACGTTGTCTCAAGCCTTGAAGACTGTGAAAGATAATGGAAGAAGAAATGGAAGCCAAAATTCCGTCCTGCAGTGTGGAGCTGAAGTGGAATGAATGTTGTTTTCTGTGGCGTTGTTTACAGCGAGGCCTTGTGCAGAGTCCTGATACAGACTCGTTTGTCCCGCCCCCAAGAAAAGCATCAGGTCTGTTTTTGACGTGATGTATGCCACACCTCCATCACCAGAACAGAGGTCTGGAGAAATCCCACAGGAGACAGTGATTTGTGTGTGTGTGTGTGGTGTGTGTGTGTGTGTGTGTGTGTGTGTGTGTTGTGGTGTGTGTGTGTGTTGTGTGTGTGTGTGTGTGTGTGTATGTGGTGTGTGTGTGTGTGTGTGTGTGTGTGTGTGTGTTCTCCCTAATAAAAACACTGTAACGTCAGACACACTCTACTGCTGGGAACCTTGATGTGAGGAAGGTTTTGTTCTTTGTGTTGCTTTGTCAGTTCAGCGTGTGTTGTGTTGGACGTGTCACTGTGCTGACAGTCCCTGCTTCCTGTTGGTACAGCGGCACTCTGTTAACATCAGTGCCATGTATTGTCCCGCTGAGATTTGACAGGAAATGGTGTCACTGCTCTTCTTCTGTGGTTGGGTTTAAATTTCTCCAGATGTCTGTTGGTTTACAGGTGGAGGATAAAACAGGAGGGTGATCTGTAAAAATCCTTTGTCATGGTATACATAGTTTTATATTACAGTAGTGGTATGAATCATGATGTAATCAATTTTCCACAAATTCAATCCAGACTTTTGGAATATTGTCATGAAAAGTCCTGTTCATTGGTTCACAGCATCATCTGTAATGTTCTGATGCTTTTAGTGACACAGTTACATTAATTAGCCATTGGATCATGTAATAGTTTTCAGCCTGGGTTTTTACTGTCATGTTGTGATCATGTCTGTCCAGAGGATCAATGGAGACTCACAATCCTCCATCAGGTACAACACATTACAATCATAAATGTGAAAACATGAGTTTATTAATACAGGTTGGAATCATAAACACGTCCTAGATTAGACACATGTGAGTGAATGTTAATGTCTGGAGACTTTCATTTTGACTACATGGAGGTTATTTGTTAATCTGTCATCTTTAATTTCAGCTCTTTACACCTCTGGTGCCTTGAAACTGACAGGTAGTCAGGTGAGATTTGCTTGCTGCTATTTTATTTTTGATTTAATACTCCAGATACGTGATCCAAGGTATGTGGACGTGATGAGCCCCCCCTCCAAAATAAAAGTGAATAATATTGAGATTTGACATTAAGATAAATGTTTATCTGTTTTTCTGTAGCCCATGTGTTTGCTGAGCGATGTCTGGTTTTAAAGGGAAGTGAAGGTCTCATGTTAAAGCAGCAGAGTCGCAGTGAAACCCTGTTCTGACCTGGATCTGTGTCTTGTTCGGATACAAGTATTGATAATAGTCCCAGGCCTGAGTGAAGTGACTGTGGTCAGAAAACGAATGTGAAAAAAAACTAAATCCTTCTTGGTGTGTTTCACAGTGGACTACAGCTTTTATTTTCATCAAACCAAATGTCAAAAGAAGAAGAAAACTTGGAGTTGTGTGTTGAACTGGGACCTGAGTCATTTAACAGAATCCTTTTGTTTTCAATTGTTCTACCTCATGTTTTTACACGTTCACCTTTTCCTTTTGAGCCATCGTTTCTTTTTCCAACACACACATTCCTCAGTTAGAAACAGAGCTGGCAGATCTCAGAGCAGCAGCTTGGTGTGTGTGCTGTTTCCCTCTCATTAATGATGTTTGAAAAGTATTGGATTGTGTCAGCGACACAGCTCAACTGTTTCTTTCTGTTATACTGCTGCATTGTGGGAACTAGGTTTACACTGATACAGATGTTTACACACCTTTAGCTCAGACTCACCTCAGCTCTCCTCCTGTGTCTCACCTGTGTGTGAATATTTGTGCTGAGTAGAAATGATCATCCTGAAGTGGAGATGAGTAAATGATTATGTACGATTCAGAACTGCTTTTCTTGAATTTCATTGAGAGGAATGTACGTCAGATATCAAAGCAGACCCTGTCATGCCCAGCTAGCTGCTGGATGTTGTCCTCTCCTGTCAGTCTGACTAAACTCTAATGACCTGTTGGTCATTTGTTTTACATGCAACACTCTTCTATGCAACCACCACCCCACCCCCCACCCCCCCCACCCCCCACCCACCCCCCCACCCACCCACCAACCCCGGACTTCATAGTGGATCAGTGCAGGTTTGGCTGATCTTGTGTTGTTCCTGTGCTTCTCATCCTAACAGGAACCAGACACCTGGATGTGGTTGTGTTCAGGTGACTTCACCTTTAGTTCAGCAGGATTTCCAGTATGTGGTCGTACATGTAACTGAAGCCATTTGCTTGAATGAAAACCTGTTTTTTTATTGCTGAATTTGTACATATCAGAGCTCTGTTTCAATAAAGATTGGAAATACCTCTCATCTGTGTGACTCGAGTGTGGAGAAGACATGGGAGGAATTTAGAGGCATGTTGTTTTCATGGTTACCTAGGTGTGCCCGTTTCACTTGTGCCCACATGTGGTCATATGGGAAAGTTGTATTTAAAAGTGATGAAAGTACAATCAAAGGCTTCTTTTTATGGCACTCCTGTGACTCCATAGTTTCATCTTAAAACAAACGTGAAAAAGTGGATCTAGATTTTCAAGCATGAAGAAAAAGTTCTTGGTAAGAACAATTTCAGATAGTTCCCTTCTTCAATACCTGGTGGCTTCATGAGACTTTTGTGGGGGTTTTTTGTTAGAATATAAAGAAGAGTGATAGATAGTTCAGGTTTATGAACATATAAACTTGTTTTCCAAATCTCACCAGCAGCTGCCTCAGAGGTCCAGACTCTAGGGGGTGCCCCAAAGACCCCATGTTCACTAATCTAAGGCCCTGCAGTATGACCTAATGTTGAGGCCCTGTGTTGTAGAGACAGTCTTTGTCCACATCTAGTTGTAAGACTTGTAGAATTTAATTTGACACTGACATCAACATTAATGAACTTTTATTGTTTTTCATCATACTACCACAAAGTCATTGACAGGTAGTACGTCTGTAAAAGGGCGGGGGGCCCAGAAATGGGGGTCACCAAGCACCAGCCCTGATGGTGTGATGAACTGGTCTGCCACTTGTGAACCAGGTGGAGGTTTCCTGCCGCAGCTCCAGCTGCTGAATAGACGATCTAGGTCATCCACTCCTGAAATATTACATTGACACAGGTGCAGTAATTATGTCACACTGACACAAGATCATGTTTCTGTGTCAAACCAGTCTGGTGAGTTCACTCAAGAGCTGTACACACTTGAGTTCACATCAGCACACCTGGCTAACACACAAACACAACATGGCCCATTAAACCTGCTCAGTATCATGTTAATGTGATCATCTCAGTAGACTTGCACATGACCCACGTCCTCTGACTTCTGCTGTGCCAGCCTCAAAGTCATCTTCATTAACTTAATTAACTTAAAAAACACAAGATCATCATGAGTCTGGAGTGTGAATAATTTCAATTATTAAACTTCATAGTTTAAAAAAGTATAATTTGATAGTCTAGAGTTGCTTTCTTTAAATTAAAGGTGTGTAAACATTAAATGAGTTCCCACCCACAGAGCAGCAGTACGACCTCTGATTGGCCAGCTGCAAATGTCAACTGTGATGTAGACTATTATCAACTGACACTAAAATTGAGTAAGAATTAAATGTATGATTTAAACATTTTTTCAACATCAATTCATTTTGAAATTTTATTTATAATTAACAGAATAATGGTCTTTTCATTATTTTATTTACTTTAAATACGTTTTTATGTTTTTAATACATGGATTAAATGCTAATTGTTTCATCCATTTGTAATCTGAGGTGTTCACAAACTTCCCGTCACAGACAAATATACAGTATGTTACTCTTAGTACATAATGTCTACTACATCCCTGTGATAATGGAGTGAATTATTCCAGTAGTGTGAATTTGTCAGTTGCTCATGTTCATGTAGTGTGAGCTCCGACTGAAGCTGAACAGCATCAGCAGTTGACACAACGCCATGATCTGAGCCCTTAACCACCAACACACTTATTTCCTCTAGAGTTTTCCAGCATTGAAAGTATGTACAGATGGACTGTGACAGTCAGCATGCAAAACAGATGTATACATAACAGGACACAACAAATGGTATTCATCCTACCAGAGCTTCACCTCAGTGGAAGGCTAAATCCTCCCTCTCTCTGGTTATCCACCAAGTACTGAGTTAATCATCAGGTAGTGCAGCATCACTCTAAGCTGGAATAAGTTATCTTTACTTTACCAAATGGTTTTCAACTGGTTAAAATTAGATCAACCAATGAACCACTGATCCCAAATCAGTCCACCAACCATCACTGATAAGATTAGCTGTCTGACTATCTCTGTCTCTGTGGATGTGACTGGAGAGATGTCAGCATTATACAGGTCAGTGAATGTTTTGGATTCACCTCCATTTTTGTATAAATGTATTTAATGAACAAACACAATCTGTTTCAACTAATAACACATCATTGTGTTGTTCTCGTTCAAACATTCACAGTGTAGCTCAGACAGTGTGTGAAGCCACCAGCTAATGATAACATAACATAACATAACATAACATGAGGAGAAGCTAACTGGAGTCAGGGGTTATCAAAGCTGGAGTCAGTCAGTAAAACCAGACTGGAGATTTCGGTGAGAGACACTTTCGCTAATAAACAACAAGAAGACTGAGGATGATTAACTGTTGATGAGTGTAAAGGCCACCCTTTCAGAGGAGCCTGGTCTCTACTCAGTGTATTTCACAGAATCAGTGAGGAAACATTCAGAGAGAGATTCAGCTCCTGTTTCTTACCCTTTCCTTTAAATGAGACATTTGTGGATTCTTCTTCCTTATTGTCAACATAAAACTGAAAGACATCATTTATTTCCTGCAGCAGAACAGCTGAGAAAAAAAGGCCAGGCTGACACATGTTCAAACACATTCAACACTGCCACCAAGTGGTTGAAGATATATAATACAACACATTCATTTGGCTCCAAGCAAATATTAGATTCATTTAAATAAATAAATAAATACACAGTAACTGTATTGTTTCTGGGAATTTGGGAATTGAGTGACCTGAGGAGGAGTTTTATTCTAAAGTTACACGCAAACGCTTCAAAGGTTTAATATGATAGTTTTGTTGACTCCACATGCTTTGATTTGACGATTTTAGACATTGAATTAAATTCATATTATAGTAGAGATTACATGTGTCCACTGAAGGCTTAGAAATAGTATTTACACCATTGTGTAAGGAGAGAAACTTTATGAAATGGTTAAATAACATCACATTTCACATGTGTGTATCACTTCCAGAGTCATTTTATGGTGAAAGTGGTACACAGTCACTGATACTGTCTCTTTGGTCCTGTTCTTGAGTTCCAGGTGAAAAGTGTTCAAATCTTTAACTCGAGTAAAAACTGAACAAATAAAATACTTCATTACAAATAAAAGTCTTTCCATCAAAACGTAGTACCTGTATTATCAGTAATATTTACTAAAGTAATTGAAGCACTCATTATGCAGCAAATATTAAATTAAAGTCTGTTAATTATATTATTATAGAGTGGTTTAATTTACTGTATAACAGTGCATCAGCTTTTTTCAGGGTTTCTAAAAATATTTATCTGCATCTCAAGCTGTCACAGTGATGTTCAGAGGAAAGTTAGTGGACAACTCTTACAGGGTAAAAATAGGATAAAATGGAAAAACTCAATAAAAGGACAAACACCTCAGAATTAGACTAAAGAGCAGTACGTATGGAAATGTATTTCTACCACTGGGCATCAATCACCATACAGGTCATATGATGTGTGTGTGAACTTTTACATGCACATCAAAGATAAGAATAAATTGAACATAGGGTGTGATGTGTCACGTCTCACTGTATTTATCTGATTCAAACACACATCACTGCATCTAGTACTTCTACTGTAGGAAGTCTATGTACCTTCATACACAGTCATTCACATTATGACATGCAGTTGGCTTACACACACACACACACACACACACACACACACACACACACACACACACACACACACACACACAACTGAAATGCTCTAACCCTAACCCTATTGTTTTTGCTCAGGTTTATTATTATTATTAGAGTTGTAACCCCGAAGGGGTAGAATGCTTTTGTTTTTGCTCAGGTTTATTATGATTATGTGTCTTTTGCCACGGCTCAAACTGCTGTGAGTGCAATCGGCCACATGGTGGTGCTGTAATCAAAAATTTAAAATTAAAGTTTGGAAAGGCCACACCCCTCACACCATTTGTCTGATTGACTTGAAATTTGACACACATGTACACCTCAATGTGCTCTACAAAAAAGCCAATTAAACTATAAAAGTCCGTCTCAATAATTCTTTTGGTAATTTGCATAATTTGAAAAACAGTAAAATGAATAGAACTTTAAGAATTTTGAGATTAGAAACACCAAAAAGAGACACCAGTCGAAAAACATGGCTGCCACCAACAAAAATATCTTTGCAAAGGCCGGGGCTTAGCTAATATTGGCCATAACTCATTAACCATTGCTACAATCATCAGAAAACTTGGTCCATATCTTTGGGCCGGGACAGGGAGTAGGCCTACCAAAGCATTTTGAACCTGACCTCTAGGGGGTGCCATAAATGCCAGGAGGTGAGTATTAATGAAAATCTGAAGTGCCATATTGATTGATGGAAGTGGGTGGGGCCTATTCATCAATTTGTGTCATCTGAAGCCTTTGCTCAATTTACGGAGAGCTGGAATGAGCCAGACGCACGAAAATTGGTATCATAACTCAAAATGGTGTGTAAATACTTCACAAAAAATATTGTCACATTTGGCCATATGGTGGCAATATAATTAAGAGTCATTAATTCAATTTATCAATTAAGGCCCAAAAAAGTCATTTTCAAAAGGCCATGCCCCTCACACCATTTGTCTGATTGACTTGAATTTTGACACAGATGTCCAGCTCAATGTTGGACCATTAAAGTGTGCCTGGATAGATTTTTTCCTAATTTGCATAATTTGAAAAAAGTAAAATGAATAGAACTTTATGAATTTTGAGATTAGAAACACCAAATTTGGTAGACCCCCTCATGAGATGAATTTGCAAATTTCTTTTATAATGGGCAGGATTGGTCAAAAAACATGGCTACCATCAACAAAAATATCTTTGTAAAAGGCGGGGCTTGGCTAATATTGGTCATAACTCAATAACCATTAGTCAAATCATCATGAAACTTAGTTCATAGTAGGAGTAGGCCTACCAAAGCATTTTGAGCCTGACCTCTAGGGGGCGCCATAAATGCCAAAAATACATATCTCAAAGTCTGTTGAACAGATTTTCACCAAAATTGGTACACATGTTCTTGAGGTGAGTGTTAATGAAAAGCTG